TGTTGCTCACAAGATTCCACAGCTTAGAGGGAACATTGCCTGTGAGGTAGGTGGGGCTAAATATCAGAACTAAACATCAGATACCAAAACATCATGTCAAACGCCTCTCTGAAATATCCAGGGAGCACTTGGCAAGCCACTGTGATGCCAGGGTGGTGTAGTGGTTCACAGTGTTGGAGTAGCCTGGGAGACTGGGGTTTGGATCCCCAGTCTGGTGTAGTGGTTAGGAGTGCGGACTGTATTCTGGGAGAAGTGGGTTTGATTCCCCGCTCCTCCACATGCAGCTGCTGGTGTGACCTTGGGTCAGTTCTCTCATGAGCAGTTCTCAAAAGAGCTCTCTCAGCCCCACCTACCTCACAGGCAATGCTCCCTCGAAGCAGTGGGGTCTTGTGAGTAAAAATTCTACTTCATGTGAGCTGGTGGCATTAAAGTTGTGAGCGAGAGATTTGGCTGCTGCATAAATTAGTTTGCTCTGGAGCCCTCCTTCCTGAGCTAAGACAAAAATGTGTGAGCCGGAGGCTAAAAGCCAGTTTGGTTTCAGGGCATGTGTGAGACAGTTTGGTGTAGTGGTTAAGTGCACGGACTCCAATCTGGGAGAACTGGGTTTGATTCCCCACTCCTCCACTTGCACCTGCTGGAGGACCTTGGGCAAGCCATAGCTCTAATAAGAGCTGTTCTTGAAAAAGAGCAGTTTCTGTCAGAGCTCTCTCCGCCTCACCTACCTCACAGGGTGTCTGTTGTGGGGAGGGGAAGGGAAAGGAGTTTGGAAGCCGCTCTGAGACTCCCTTGGGTAGTGAAGGGCGGGGTATAAATCCCATCTCTTCTTTTTCTTCTTCTTCTTCCTCTGCCTAGCAACCCCCTGGCCTTCTGGGTCTCCCATCTAAGACCTAACCACGACCAATTCTGCTTAGCTTCAAAAGCTTGGCCTCCTCTGGGCTATTCAGGCTGCTGTGGTGAATAATACACAGTTTTTAAAAAATCACCAAGGAGACATTTTTGGAAGCCGTCTGTGTGTGGATGGTTCTTCCACAGGAACTTGTCCAGATGTTCTGAACCCAGCTGCCCAGCTGTGCCACAGAACAAAGAGGGAACTAAATCGGAGGCTCGGGAGACGGGAAGGTGAAAGGTGAAGAGCCTGAGACGAGTGAGCGGGGACTGAATAGCGGGATTGTCCGTCCCAAATCGCATCCCTTTCTACGGCCATATGGGCAAGAAAGGGCCTTTGATAACGTGCGGGGCACTGCTCTTTCCAGGTCTCCGAAAGTTCTCTCTGCTCTGCCGTTCCCAGACTTTCTCAAGACTCCTGGCACAGTTCCCCGGCTGCGGAAGAGAAGGGGCGTTCTTTGCTGTAAACCATAACAGGCTCTTTGCCTCTCGGTTGTTCTGAAATGTCAAAGGGACATTCTGGAATGAAGGATGAGATAATGGGGGGGGGGCTTGTCATGACATGGCTGGGCCCGGACCCTTCCCCAGTAGCTCCCCTTCCCCCCTCCAGTTTGGTGTAGTGGTGTAGAGCCAGTTTGGTGTAGTGGTTAAGTGTGCGGACTCTAATCTGGGAGAACCGGTTTTGATTCCCCACTCCTCCACTTGCAGCTGCTGGATGACCTTGGGCAAGCCATAGTTCTGTCAGAGCTGTTCTCTCAAGGACAGTTCTCTCAGAGCTCTCTCAGCCCCACATACCTCCCAGGGTGTCTGTTGTGGGGAGGGGAAGAGAAAGGAGTTTGTAAGCTGCTCTGAGAATCGGAGTGAAGGGCGGGGTATAAATCCAATCTCCTCCTCCTCCAGCCCAGCTGTGATAGATTGTTGGGCACAATCCAACATAGTAGCTGACAGTTTAGGGTTTTAATTGTAATTCTGTTTTTTTTAAACTGCAATACTGATTTTATTGTATATTTAATTGTTGGAAGCTGTCATGAGCCCTGCTTGACGGGGAAGGGATATAAATTTAATAAATATGTAAATAAGTAAAAGTGTGCAACTGGCCCAAGGCCACCCAGTGAGCTTCCATGGTAGAGCAGGGATTCGAATCTGGTCCTCCCAGATCCTAGTCTAGGACTAACCACTGCACCATGCTGGACCCCACTTTTTACACCACAGCAATGGAAATCATGCTGTCACAGTATTGACAGCTTGCTACACAAGCAGTGCCTTCTTAGTGGTGGCACCTAAAGACCATCTGAAATTGCCATTGGTGGTCCATCCAGACAGTATTGTCTACAGAGACTGGGCAGCTCTCCGGAGCGTCAAGCAGATAATGATTCTCCCCAGCTCCACTGTACATGAGACCCCTTTTTTGTCAGAAGGTATCTGGGATTGAACCTGGGGTTCAGTTGACTTGCAGGTATTTCAATAGCTGTTCAGAAGTCCTATGCAGAGTGCTCCAATTGCTCCCCTTACAACTATAATCACTCTAAATATTTTGGATGGCCCAGGCTAGCCCTGTCTTGTTAGATCTCTTGATGGATTGCTGAATTGCAATTGATAATGAAGACAATGCATCCTCCTGGACTGAATCAAGACCTAGGTTTCCTGTCTCATTACCAATGCTGATTTCTCCACGCCTATTACCCCTCTGCATATCTCACCTAAATCCAATCACGCCTGCTACTGTCATTCATCTGCTACAGTCGTTTGCCTGCTAATGTCATTCGACATCCGAAATCACTCCACTTTCCAATTAATAGGACAGATGGACCCCCATCCTAGTTGTATCTGAAGACGTAAACAGTGACTCACGAAAGCTCATCCCCCTGCCACATATTTTGTTAGGCTGACTTCGTGATCCTGTTGTTTTTTTTAGGATTAGGAAACCGCAGGGGAAATCGGGCGAAGCCGCGGGTCAAAATATGGCCACGCGGCTTCGAGTGGGAAATTGACCAATGGAAATGGGGCAAAGGGAGGCATGACAGCGGCGCAGCTCCTTGTGTGAAATCAGCCTTAGTCTTTAAGGCGCTACTGGATTCTCTAACTGGGAAGTTCATGATTGCTACTCAGAGGGCAAGCAGCTGCAAGCCACCTCTGTTGGTCTGGTCTCTTGCCTTGAAAGCTCCAATGGGGTTACTAGAAGTTGGCTGTGACTTGGCACCCTTTCCACCGCCAGATACTTTGGGGAGTCCCCTTCTGGCCTCACTGCACAGGCTGACAATTGAACGCACTCTGCATGAGCTCAGAAGTCATCTTTTTTCTCTAGATGTGGGGAACATGACACCATCATCCTGACTTCAACAGTGGGCGATTTTGCATCTAGCCTTCGCTCCACATTTTCTCAACTGGAAAAGGTGGAGCTCAAAACCACATTCAAATACCCCGGGGGCCAATGCCCTACTGACTGC